CCAGTTTATAGAAGCAAATAGATGTTTTCTATAGTATCTGCATGGAAGATTTACTTTTCAGGAAATCAAAACTCCTTTGAGTGGCCTGGTAGCAGCAACCACAAGTAAATTCTTTTGTTGGCTTTGTTTCTGACCTTGTGTGTGACCTGGAGAAAATAACTTTGTCACTATACTCCATTGTAGTAACCATGTGTTTCGGATACTTTGACGTTTTGGAGGACTTGCTGACCCTGGAGAGACTACCCTTCCTGGGGTTAGCCCATTCCTAGAGACAGCAAAGAACTTGTCTGGACGCCTGCCTTTCCTGCGCAAACCAAGCAAGCCAGAGCCGCACCCCAAGCACCGCCTTTGTCAGGCTCTTACACTCAGGGCTACCATCCACCTGTCCTAATCCCCCCAGGGCCTGCCACCTAACACTAGGGACAGCGCCTGTTCCCCAGAGCCCTGCAGTTATTCAAACTAGCCAATCCTAAACTTGCTTACTGCTCTGTTCCTTCCCATGGAAACCACAGTAAGTTTCTTGCCCATGTTTCCCTCCGGCTCCCTCTATCTCCTGACTTCTCTGAGCCCCTCCTCTTGGGAACTGTGGGTGCCAAGCTAGCTTTTCAATCCCAGTCATCTCCTGATCTGTTGGCCTTGTCATACTGGAATAATAATAAAACCTGCATTTAAAAACACCCATTGCAAGTACAGACCTGGGGCTGGGCTGTCACAGTGTTGTGAAGCACTTTCAGCTTCATGAAGAACAGGGTCAGAGGCCGTCACAGAATCCCTTGCTACCTTCTTCCCAGGAGCAATTTCTGTAAATGCAGCGCTCGTTGAAACTTCTGAGAGAAACAGTGCCATCTTGTGGTAGTCTGTAGTGACTTAGGCCATTTTTAAAAAACATAGACAATTTTTAGAACAATTTTAGGTTCATGGCCAAGTTGAGAAGAAAGTACAGAGTTCCCATACACCTCCTGTCCTCCCCCCACACGCACAGCCTCTCCTGCTATCAGCGTCCCCATCGGACTCGTTCGTTACAGTTGATGTACCTACCTACACTGACACATCCTTATTGCCCAAAGTCCGTGGTTTACATTAGGGTTCGCTCTTGGTGGTGTACGTTCTGTGGGTTTGGACAAATGCATAATGACATATACCCACTATTACAGTGTCATACACATAGTGTCACTGCCCTAAAAATCCTCTGTGCTCTGCCTATTCATCCCTCCCTCCCCTCAATCTCTAGCAACCACTGATCTTGTTACTGTCTCCATAGTTTTGTTGCAGGCCATTTTTACTCCAAGATTTTCCTTATTTGGCTGCCCACTTTTTGCTGGATGAGTGATATGGAATAATGGTGAATAAGGCAGACAGCCTCCCTATTCCGGGAAATAGGTGCAGGTGAGGGTAGAAAAAGCCAAGTAGGCAAATAAATAAAAATAATTGCAATATAGGGGAAAAGATACTGACAGAGAATGGGGGCAGGGCTACCTTACATAGAGTGGGGAAGTGGCACATAAATTAAAACTGCCAGGGTGGAAAGAAATCAGATATTAACAGTGGGCAGAAGATATTAAGAAGCAGAGAATCAGAATGTGTGAAATCCCAGAGGCCAGAAAGAATGGGATGCATTTGAGCATCAGAGAGCTCCACGAACTAGCATATGGGGTTACAGTGTGTGCGGGTCATGGGATTATGATAGCTAGGCCATCAGGAGCTCAGTCTTGCTGGCCTGGTATGTTTTGATAAGGAATTTGGATTTTACTCCATTTTCAGTAGAAAGCTCCTGAAGGCTTTACCCAGGGCAGTAACATATCTGTCAGATGTTTTAAGAAGCTTATATTTGAGGCTAATATTTTACCCTTTGCTTTAACATTTGCTCTCTCTTCTATAATTTTTTTCCTGAACCATTTGGACATAAGTTACATACATCGTGACTAAATGCTTCAGCTTGTTTTTTACTAAGAATGGAGATATATAGCTTTCGAATAATTATCAACTTCATAAATTTACATTAATCCAATGCTTTTATCTAATATACCATCTGTATTCCAATTTTGTTGGTTAATCTAATAATGTCCTTTTTATAGAATTTTTATTCCACCCTGGATCTGATCTGGGGTCAGGCATTGCATTTAATTGCCATGAATTTTTAGCTTCCTTTAATCTGGAACATTCCTAAACACTTTGTCTTTTATGGTATCAACATTTTTGAAGAACACAGTTCCTTTCCCCCGACCATTACAAAAAAATAAAATCTTCATTTTGTGTTTTTGTGACGTTTCCTTGTGATTATATTGGGGTTATACATGCTAGGTATGCATTTTGCATAGGGATGTTATGCCTTCTTTAGAATATCACATCTGGAGGTACATAAAGTCCGCCTGCTTCTCATAGGTGATATTAATTTTGATTACCTGATCAAGGTATTGCCTTATTTCTTCACTGTATAATTACCTTTTGTTTTCTCCTTGGCAGCTAATTAAGTCTGTAGGGAGACATTTTATGTCCATGCAAGTATCCTGCTGCTTCTCAGAACTGTCCCCTAGATTGAGCATGATGATTCTTGCCTGACCCAATCTTCATTATGATGCTGGCAAAGTGATGATTTTCTAATTTCACAGTTAGCTCTGCATTTGCCATTTAGTCCTTGGCCTTAGACTATAAGCTGAACTCTTCTCTCCATTTTTTTCTATTATCAATATGGACTCATGAATTCCTATATTTTTCAATGGTTTATTATTCATTTCTACACTTAATTATTAATATTTTTGGTGTTCAAATGATATCAGTTTGGCCAGTGGGAGCCCCTTCAAGCTGGTTCCTATGTCCCTGTAACATGTTTCCATCATTTTTTGGGGGAAGACTTCTTTAATTTTCAGTAAAACAAGATGCTTCAGGCTTACCTTGAACCTGTAAGCCTGATATAGTTTGCATGTTTATCCTCTCCAAATCTCATATTGAAATTTGATCCCTAATCTTGGAGGTGGAGCTGCAACTGGAGTCACCACCTAATTAAATTTGTAATAATCCACTGTGACTCTCTAACATCCATTTGTCTTCTATGGAGGCCAAGCAGATAAGGTAAACGGGATGTGGGGAGAATCACCACCCCTGCATCTTTCAAGTTCTTGAGGGCAGCGGTAATCTCTGCAGTTCCTCCAGGTATGCAGTATTGCTTTTGATTTACTATTTTTGTAGGTTGAGAAAGTTCTAGTGGCTTCTGCTTGGCCTTTCTTACCAGAGTAGCCTTAAATCCATGGGTCAGGGAACTACTGCAGGGGTTCTGCCAGTTCTGACTATGTCTGTTCAAACTCTATATTCTGGAACTGGGGAAATAACCACAGTGTGAGTTTGGAAACCCATCAGGCTCACTGTGAGATGTATCCTAGCCCAAACCTGGAAATAATCCAAATTGTCTATCGATAGATGAATGGATAAACAAATTGTAGTATATCTGTACACTGGAATACTACTCAGAAGAAAAAGAACAATAGATACACACAAACATGGGTAAATATTAACATTATTGTGCTGAGTGAAAGAATCCAAACAAAAGGAGTACAAACTATATGATTCCATTTACAGAAAACTCTAGAAAATGCAAATTAACTTACAGTATCTGAAAGCAGATTTGTGGTTGCCTAGGGATTGGGTGTGGGGGCCCAAGAGGGACAAATTTCCAAGAGGCCCAAGGAGACTTTTGGGTGGCTTAAGTGGGTCCATGACATTTGACAATACACAGGCAGCATGGTAGAAGCAGAAAGCAGACAGCAGCAGTTGAGAAATGACTGGGAAGAATGAGTCCTGTGTAACTCATTCCTCAGGACTTGGTAAAGCTTAGTAAGCAAGGACTAAGAAAGACACAACGGTATTGGTATTCCACTTTATGGAACCTCCTCCCGGGTGCTATTTGTTTTCCAGTTGGCTTAATCTGATTAGCTTGTTCCCCTCAGCTCTTTCTCCCACTGATTCCACTCCTACTGGCATTTTTCTACCTTTCCACCTTTCCACCTTTCTAACATCTTTGAACCTCTATTTTCCTTTAATTTCTCCCCTTTTAAACTATACCAGTCCAAAGCTAAGCTCTCCCATTTCAAAACTCTTATGGCGTTCAATACCTTTATCACATCATATGACATGTTCAAGTAAATTTTACCAAAGTGGAAAGACACCATACTGTTAAGTGCACAGACACTGGCATCAGATTGTCTGGGTTTGAATCTCAGCTCTGTCATGCAGTGGCTGTGTGACCTTTGTCAAATGACAGTCTCTGTGCCTCAATTTCTCCAGCTATAAATGGAAATAATAACAATATCTCTTGTTATGAAGAGTAAGGAATTACTATTTGCAAAGAGCTTAGAAGAGGTTTGCCATATGCTAAGCCCTAATTGGTGTTCCTGCTGCAGGAAGTTTTATGCTCATGGTTATAAAGGATACAAAGATGTGTATGGCATTTAGCCTAGACTCAAGGAGCTAATGATTTTGTGCTGGACGGATTTAAACTTTCACGGAGTTCTTCTATGTGCCCTGGCCCCGTGGCCTCTGCATTGGGGCTGCCTTGGCATGAAGGCCAAGAAGGTGGATTTCCAATGGCCACTTTTTAGAACAGGTTTGTGAAGCAAAAGAATGGTGGCTGCCAGAATTCAAGAGGGGAAAGGGAGAAAGAAGCCCATTTGAGGAAGGGAGCTGTTGGTCTTCCAAAGATTTTGGAAGATCTGCGTTTTAACAGACTGAAGACCACTGCCTGGACGTGCTTCCGAAGGCACAAGAGCCCATTCAGACCCCATCCCTTTGGTCCAGGCGGGGGCGGTAGCCACCAACCCTGCAGCGTGCCTACCCTCGGCCCCGCCCCTCCCTGCGGCCCCGCCCCGAGGCCCCGCCCTGTAGCCCCGCCCCCTGCGGCGTGCCAAGCCTCGGCCCCGCCCCACCACTGTCGCCACGCCCCCTGCGGTGTGCCTAGCCTCGGCTCTGCCCCGCCTCGCTCCGCCACCGGGTCCCTCCTCGCTCCGCCACCGGGTCCCTCCTCGTCGCCTGGTTCTCTGGCCTACGCTGAGTGGCCGCGTCGCCCTCGCCACGGCCGCTGGCACTCCTCGCGGCGTCGGTGCCAGAGGAAGGCGGGTACGATGGCGGCTAAGGCCCCGGCGGCCGAGGCCGTGGCTTCGCGTCTGGAGCGGCAGGAGGAGGACATCCGCTGGCTGTGGGCGGAGGTCCAGCGCCTGAGGGACGAGCAGCTGAACGCGCCCGACAGGTGCCAGGCCGAGGGGCAGTGCCTCACGCGGGAGGTGGCGCAGCTGCGGGCGGAGAACCGCGACCTGCGCCAGCGCCTGTACAGCCTGCGGCTGTGCCTCGCCGAGGAGCTGAGCCACCGGGCCGAGCTGGAGAGCGCGGCGCGGGCGGCTGGGGCGCAGGACGAGGCCCGGCGTGCGGCTGCCGGCGCGCAGGTAACCCGGCCGCCGGGACTTCCGGCGGGGCGCGGGCCGCGCGCCACCTAGGGCCCCTAGCCGCACCGCAGGCCGCGACCGTGCGCACTTAGCGGTTTTCTACTCCCGGAGGATGGGTGCGGGAGGCGCCCTGCAGGGAGTGCCCGCCCGGGGCGCGCTGCCCTGCCGGGCTCGCTGGCCTGCTAGACTATCTGCCCTGCCCTGCTCTGTGCCCTGCGGCGCAAGCCTCTGGCTCCCTGCCCCACCCTGTGCTTATGTGCACGCTGGGGAACCACTAGATTTCCAGCAATCGCCAGATTGACCTAATGGTGTCATTTCTCAGCTCTTACATTAAATAGCCTGCCACACATTTTTTTCAGTAGCAGCAATAGCATTTTCATTTATTTGAAAAAACGCTGGAGTGTTTAAAACTCATTATTCTTTCTTTGGGCAGAATGACTAGCAGCTACGTATATAGACCCTTGCATTTTCTCTAATGGCTGGTTCTGAGCTTTTTAGGACAAGTGATTTTAGTTTTATGTTCCCCAGTTTTGGTCGTCTATCTTGAGAGGAGATCTGTATAGTTAACGTTGTTATTTAATACAGTATTTTAATATTTCAGTTCATTAGCAGACAGTTTATCTTCCTGTAGCGTAATAAACTTTCTGCATCCAGAAGCTTCTCAGAGTGTGAGATGTTTTTCAGTTCTTTAGGAAGGGACACTGTGGTGCACTAGCAACATCTTCATGAAATAGTGCATTTGAAGTCTCTGGCGGCAGCTACATATTTTCTAGCAACAATATTTGTTTAAAGTTTAGGGGAGAAAATTTTAAAGAGCAAATTATATTAAATAGACTTACCAAGGATGTGAAATGCGCAGACAGGAAGGACTGAACCCGGGAAAATGACTTGCCGGTTGAGGGTTGTAAGCGGTGGGCAGAAGAGCCGAGCTAGGAGCCTCAAAATGTGGGGCACTTGTAGCCTGCTGACATGTACCCCTTCTTCCTCAGGTTTGAGATGTGTTGCTCTTTCTTGCCCATCGGTGAGTCATTTATCATTTCTGTTTCAGCTTCCTTCTAGTCAAAGCCAAGAAAAGGATGCTAAAAAGAGGAAGATGAAGGAAAGTGAGCCAGACAGTGAGGTAAGTCATTGCTATGGAAATAATATAAACTACTACCTGTAACTTTAAATATGTGCAAATAGTTAATTACCTAGGATTGTTAATAAAAACATAATTACTAATTAAATTATTATTTGGGCCACATGAGTATATTTAAAACTTTGCAAGCCTTAGATGTGAGAAATTTTAGAAATGAGCTACCCACACGACTATATTTAAAGTGCTCCTTAGTCTATTTAAGTTGACATAGCAGAGTTCTTTTATATTAAGGAAACTAGCTACTTTGCTTTTTTATATAAATCATTAAAACAACCAAAATGTATATATCTAGCACCGACATTTGGTAGGAGCAAAGGAGGAATACTTGGTCTCAAAGGAATCAGCCTGGTTGAGGAGTTCAGGCAAACACAGGAGAAACAACCCGAGAACAGAGTAAGGTGGTGTATACATAAGTGCTATATTGCGTGACTCTGTGTACTCGTGCTGGAAACAGTGGAAAAGAGAGATGATGCCAGTGGATGCAGCAGTTAGAGAAGGCAGGCCTTGAGCTGGACCCTTGGAGTTAAGAAGTGGTTAGATAAATGGACGGGAGTCTTCTGGAGGTGGGAAGCACAGATGCTCCTTGACTTACAGTGGGGTTCCATCCCCATTTCTGTACGTTGAAAATGTATTTAATACACCTAACCTACTGAACATCATAGCTTAGCCTAGCTCACCTTAGTTTGCTCAGAACGCTTCCATTAGCCTACATTTGGCCAAAATCATCTAACGCAAAGCCTATTTTATAATAAAATGTTGAAAACCTCGTGTAATTTATTGAATACTGTACTGAGTGAAAAATACAGTGGTTGTGTGGGTATTCAAAGTATAGTTTCTACTGGATGCATAGCACTTTCACACTGCTGTAATGTTGAAAAATGGTAATTTGAACCATTGTAAGTTGGGACCATCGGTAGAGATTACTAGACCTATGGTGTGCTGAGAAGGCAGTGAGGATGTGGAACTAATTTAGAGCTGAGTGGCTAGAAAAAAGTGGGCTGTGTATGTATTCTAATTCTCATTGTATTCTAATGTTTTTCAGGTGAAATATCAACCAAATTTCATAAAAGAAAGGTTGAAACTTTTTGAAATACTGAAGAAAGATCATCAGCTCTTACTTGCCATTTATGAAAAAAAGGAGAAGGCAAGCAATATGATCACAGTAAGAGTGGCTGATGGGAAAACAGTCCAAGGGGAAGTTTGGAAAACCACACCTTATCAAGTGGCAGTTGAAATTAGGTAAACCGTAGTTTGGAAAAGATAAGCAGTATTACGTAATTGTACCAGAGCCTGGTGAAGATGTTTTCTTAGGGACTGCTAAAATATTTTTTCCTATTCAGTTGAATAAATTAAATGTAATTTTTTTACTCTGGCTTCTAAAAAGGCCCTTTAAATAAGTAATTGAATGTCAGAACATAATCTCTTCTTGTTCTAATAAAAATATATAGTAGGGAAAAAAATCTATAATCCTTGACAGGCCACATTACACTAATTTTATTCATCAATCTAGTTATCTCCATGAGTATTTATAAGTCTTTTAATTATAGATTGAAGATATGTGTGTTAAAACTGTTATCAGTCCTGGAATATTACTTTGACCTTTCTAGAAATTAGATACATTAGTGAAGTTGGATTGTTTTGACTAATGTTAATTTCCTAGCATTAAGTGCAATTATATGGATGCCATAGCTCAAAACTGCCATGTAAATGAACGTTTATTATTTAAGAAGCAAATTGTTTCAACAATTGAAATTCTCAGATTTCCTTTGAAAACTGTGGCTAGGATTGTATTTCTGATTCATCCTATCATATGGTGTATCCTAAAAGCCCTCCAGCCTGTTTCCATGTTTTTTAGGAGAGATGATGTGCTAGGGAAAAATGGGCTTTGAGGCAAAAACATGTTTATGTTTTCTCTCGAAGAGTCAGGTTGCATGTTAAATGGATTAGGTCAGTATTTCTTGAAGTGTAATCTTCAGACCAGCAGCATCAGCATACCTGGAAACTTGTTAGAAAAGCAAATTCATGGGCCCCACCTCAAACCTACTGAATCAATCAGTTATCTATGTTTTTATGAGCCCTTCAGGGGCTTCTAATGCAAGCTAAAGTTTAAGAACCACTCACTTAGGCTAAACTGCTATAACTGAGACCCCTGGAGACAATGGCTTAAATACGATAGACATCAGATTCTCTCACATAACTATCTTGAAGCAACCACTCCAGGCTGGTGGACATCTCTGGTACCTGCAGTCATTTATGGACCCAGCTTCCTTCCATCATGTTGATCTCCGTCCTCTAGGTAGGGTTTGTTTATGTGTAGCAGTGGAAGCTGGATCCCATTTCTGGACCCCTCTGCAGGCAAGAGAAAGAGAGGCTGAAGAACGATGATGCTTTGAGGCCAAGCCCCCCAGTGGCTCGCTTCAATTTTCATTTACATCCTATTAGCTCACATTTAGTCACATGGCCACACCTAGCTGTAAGAGAGAATGGAAATGTAGCTCCATTGGCTGGCCAGCCACATGTCTGCCTAAAGCACTCACATCATAGAAGAGAGGAATGGTTTAAGGGTAGGGAACAATAGGGAGTCCACCACAGTCTGCCCCTCCAACATCGAGATATCTGTGGGTACTCTTCTTTCAACATCCAACACACCTGCTCCCCAAGTGAGGTAACTCCAACTCCCGTAGCTCAAAGCCCGGGATTTCTGAGTGACGTGCAGAACACCCCTATCAGACTGGTTACTGATGTTGTATTCCAGCAACAAGTAAACTAATAGACAAGTCTGCTCATACCGCATGTGTATGCAGTAAACACAAGACAATCACAATTAAAGTATCTATTTGGAAAAAAGAAGAAGGAGAAATACAGCAGAAAGTGGTGTATAGATGTCATCAGATTCTGCACACAGTGATTGTGAGGCCCACAGCCTGGCAGCTGTTAGTGCTTAGGTCAGCCCATGTGGCCACCCTTTGTTTTCTGAAAGCAGCTGTCTTGTCCACACTCCTCCATGGGCCCTGCTTTTGAAAGTTCATAGTTGTCCATCACCCTTGTTTGTCACATCTGAAGTACAGGAGAGTTTGTCCTCGTGGGGGCTGTACAGTTTGGGCAGCCCAGTTCTTGCTGGTACACACTTGGAGGCTGAGGGTTCCTTTAAGGATCACACAGTCACAGGTAACTGCAAGCTGGGCTGATAGTTTATTTGGCGATACAGAGTTCCCTCGAACGGTTAACCATAGCAGGTTTCTGGTCTATTTGCTGCTATTCAGTTCCACATGAAAGTAATTTCACTTAAAGAATCTTAGAGATTTCTTGCCTTTTTATTTCCTGGCTTTTGTATTTGGCACATTCCTCTCTCCCTCAATTTAATGGGCTGCAATCATATGAAACAACAGGCTTGTGGGAGGTCAGAGTCCTTAATCTCTAATCCTTGCAGTTCCACTGACCCCTGTTATCTGTCTTTATGTGTGACCTTTGAGAAGGTCTGTCAGTGCCCATCGCTCCTGCTGTTTGGGACAGAACATTGTTTTTCCAATCTTGCACAGCCCCACATTTCTGAACTCTTAGTCAAATTGAGTTACAGGCCACAGGCAGAGAGAGCCTTCCTTGACAAAGCCCTATCCCTTCCATCTGTGCTTGCAAAGTAGATAATTCTCACCTGAACTTATCTCTTTCTGGTAGCATCTTGTTAAAAGCAATGAGAGTTATCCAGTGTATACCAATATTCTGCTCTTTTATATCTGCTCCCTCATATGCTACAAGCACTGTAACACATGGTTTGCTTACAAGTGCCATAACAAAATATTTGACTTTCCCCATCTTAGTATCTATTTCTTTGTAACCCACTGCCTGTCTGCTAAGCCAGTGCCCCACGTTTTGTTTTTTCTTACTTCCAAATCCTTATTTCTGTATTACTTAAGATATAGGCTAAGCTACTGCAACAAAGACACCATGAAAAGCTCAGTGGCTTAAATATGGTCCAAGTCTCTTTCTCGTAAAGCAGTCTGGAGGTGAGTGGTCCAGGTTGGCATGGCAGCACTTCTCCATACAGTCATTTGGGGACCTTCTGGTTGCTGGGCTGTCTGGTACAGTGTTGCCCATGTCTACATGGTCCAGAGATGACAACACATGTGTGTTCTAGTCCACAGAAGGGGGAGAGAGGATGGAGAAGTGCCTTCCACTGTCTTAAGGCTGAGGCACAGAAGTGCCACACATCACTTTTGCTTGTATTCATTGGCTCCAGACTTGGTCACATGGCCACATCTAGCTGCAAGGAAGGCTGGAAAAGTCTTCCTGGAGAAGAGCAGAATGGATTTGAGAGACAGTAAAAGTGAAAATAAAACTCTATTAATAAAAAAATCTAACATTTATTAAGTTCTTATCATATGTACAAACTATGTAATCCTTAGTAGAAATGTAAATATCTTTTTATAGGTGAGAACACTGAGTTAATCATCCAGTGTTTAAACCCAGGTTGGCCTCACCTCTGTGCTCGTAACCACAATGTTGTATTGCTGTTCAAGTTAATTACAGAAATGCAAATTAAAACGTTGTAGAGATGATATAATTTATATATAATATAGTATAGTAACAGTATATAATATAGTATAGTATAATATAGATGATATAATTTATTTATAATATAGTACCTAACAGTATGAGAGCACAGAGACAAGGCATTCTTGTACTTTTGCTGGTAGGAAAATTTTGCGGTTTATTCCAACAGAAATCATGAAAAATAATGCATTTCCCTTGACTCAGGAGTTTTACTTCCAGAATTTTTCCTGAGAAAATAATTGGGTAAGATGTATGTTCAAGAATGTTCATTGCAGCATTATTTGTCATTGTCAAAACAAAACAAAAAAGCAAAACCCATAAAGAAATAACCAAAATGCGTAGCAAATCTTGGTTCCTCTACGACTATTAAATAGCATATTTTAGGAGATGATTTAGATATGTTCCCTGTCTCCTGTTAGGGAAAATGCTGTGATCTATAGTTAAGTTTAAGAAGTAGGTTATAATATAATGTATACATAATGATACTATTAAATCTTTTATATTCCTGTATATATGAAATAATGTGGAAGGACATACAATAAAATGTTAACAGTAATTTTTGTGTGGTAGGATTGTAGATGATTTTATTTTCTTTGTGCTTCT